TTAATGCACAGGTGTTCAACTTCAGTCCTCGATGGCCGGTGTCCTGAAACTTTTCCATGTGTCCCTCTGCAGCACACCTGAATAAAATCAGTAGGTCATTAGACTTTATAGAACTTGACTGATGCTGAGGTGGCAATTCATCCATTTGATTCATGTTACAGCAGCTCATGACTAAATTAACATGGTACAATAAAAGTACTTTTAAAAGTAGTTTTTTTTTCTTCCAAAAACTTATATTTACTTACATTTATTTAAACTTCAGTATGGTTAGGTGTTGCCACCTGAGCATGTAGTCAAGTCTTGCTAATGACCTACTAATTTTATTCAGGTTGTTGCAGCAGGGACATATTTAGAAGAAGGCGGTTGGAGACTGTATGATCGTGTGTAGTAAACTAATCTCATTGTCTTGGTTGCTTCAGAGGCAGGGACCAAGTCTGCAACCACTTGTAGTCAGTTGCTGGATTCAAAGGTGGCAATACAACAGCATTAAATGGATTCAGTCTGCTATCAGTGTACGATTGAATGTGCTCAAGTTGGCATCCACATGCAATCTGTTTGTGATAATACGGTGGTTATACTCAATAATATATATAAGATTTACTAGCATAAATTTCCAAATTTGTTGCCATGTATATAAACAGAAGTCTAAACCATTTAGATTCAGAGTCCAGCTGAAAACTCATTGATTTGAAACAAATTCATCCAAAAACAGTGACGGTGTTGTTACAGGACAGGGATTTAACTATATAAGCAGCTGGAAACCAGTTGAGTCCTGTTACAGAGAGGCGTGTTGCAGATGAGTTGCGCTGATTGGCACAGACTGACTTGTTTAGATTGCAGTGTGTTGGCACTCTGCGTTTTTAATTGGTCGGCATTGTAAATATTCACCAATCTGCGTGAGACTGATTGCAGTTAGTCCGAGTGGCCCGCAGGTTGCCTCCCAACAGGCGACCTGTGCGGTCACTTTGTGATTCAAAGTGGTCACTCACTGGTTGAGGGTGCTGTACGGTCAACTTCTGATGGAAAGGTTGGTCATCAAACTGGTGTTTACTCTGATGAGTCTTAAGCCAGCTTTATATGACGTCAACCACTGTGAAATGATAATACGTTCCCTTTAAGCATTCACATATCAGAGATTAGATTTATAATTCAAAACGAATTAACTGTTTATACACAGTGTGTACAGGTCATAAACACAGAGATTTATGTATGTGTGAAATTTCTAAAACAGTTGAAACAAAAATAACAAATAAATTCAAGGTCCTCATGTCATCCAATGTCCTTCATGCTTTCAGCTGATCCAGGCTTCTGCTCCTCATGTCGAACCCACATTCTCAAACTTTGATACAAATCCATCATCTTCAAGCAAATGCACTGCATTCATAATAAAAGTGGAAGAAAAACTAATGATGGGTTACTTAAATATTTTTGCTAGAGCCCTTGGTAGAACAAACACATTTAATTTAACTACACTTATATTTGCCTTTGAAATAAACACATTAATTGCCATGTTGTGATAGTAAAGGCCTAAATGTCTCTTAGAAAATGTTTGAGAGGTTAAAATGTATTAGTATGTGTATATTTTTAGCTCACCTGGCTGAAGGACCAATGCACTTAAGCCACGGCAAGACTTAAGTTCATCCATAGTTCACATTAATACAGTGCTGGTCTTATTTTAGCAAAGACCACCATTCACTTTAGTTTTATTACATAGCTGCAGTTCAAAACAACAGTTGCCCCAAGGCTTTATATTAAAGAGACAAAGACCCTGCAATATTACCAAGACACTTGAACAATCATATGACTCCGCCCCCTATGAGCAAGTAGTGCTCCTCACAATGATGACCGCAATTTGGGAGAAGACCTACTGAAGTCATGGACAAATCAGTTGTAGCCAATAAAATAGATTTGCAGATTACACAGGGCCCTTGAAGGACTAGAATTGTCTTATTCTGGCATCTGCACCTGCCACCTCATCACTGCTCACCGCATCAACTTCATTCATAAAATCTCACCGGCGTTGTCGTCCTGCAGTGACCCTGTGAAAATACTCTGCTGCTTGCAAGACTTAAAAGTTTGAGTGTCTCTCATGCGTCTGCGATTAATGTGCAGCGACATCTTTAACAGCACCGTCAGCTGAAGAAGTAGGTGTGAAGTGATTAAGACACCTGTCAGCGTCATCAGTTGTTTTTTTCTTACAAACGATGTGACTGCACTGACAGGGAAACATTAAACATTTAAACCAGCTGCAACCTGCAGGAGAGCACAACGCTTAAAGTAAAAGGTAAGATATCCCTCTTCTTAGTTATATATAATATTTTAATTTTCTTAAATGTGAAAAAATTAAGTAAATTAAACTTTTACTTTCTAAGTCTACCTTTTACTATTTATGAGCAAAATAAAATTTGTTTATAACACAATACAGCATAATAAATCATAAAGCTAATAAAGCACAGACAGACAACATGTAACTATTGTCATTCAGTAGTAGTTAGTATAGTGAGGTGTTAGTACAATACAACAGCTCACAATTGTGTGTACAGGAGAAGTTTACTTGCTAAAAATACACGGGCAATTTCTTAAACCTGCTTACAGAGATTTATTATAGTGTGTTTACATTAGTAACATGTAACAAAGTCAGAATGCTATAAATTGAAGTAAAATAAAACACTATTAATGAAAATATGCTACAAATACTGTTATTATAAATACATTTTAACTGTATAATGTACACAAACCGCAACTTACTGGTGTCCAACTGTAAATTTACTTGAAGGTAGTGGCTGTAATTTAATTTAAAGTACATTTACTGTAATAAAAATGACAGAAAATGTAATTTACTGTAAAGTTACTGCAAACATTTTACTGTAAATTACTGCATCTAGATGCCGATGAGGTGCTTTAAAATTTGTTTACAGTGAGTTTACATCTAAACACAGAGAAATAGATGTGTGCTGGATGACTGTAATTAAACGTATACTTCTCAGAAAAACATTTTTCCCCCTCTTGTTCTGTTGCAGAGTTCAACAATGTCTCTGCTAGTCACGCTGCTTTTGCTGTCGCTGGTTTCTCAGTGTTGGACTGCTCCACAGGTTAGTCGGTATTTTTCTTTTGTCATGTTTAACCCTGATCAGCCTGAGCTGGAACAGAATTTTCTTTTCCCTTTTCAGAGGAGAAACTGGACTTCTCAGGCGATCCTATACCTGAAAGGAGCACGTAAGAACGCACTGACGGCAGCAAACAGTCACCCAGATTTTAGACGTCTATCAGATCGAAACAATATAGTGTGCTGATCTTTTACAGAGGGACGCCGCTCATTTTTGGAGCGTGCCAGAAGAGAGGAAGAAAGCACTTTTCACTCAGGTGTGTGAATACATGATGCAGCTCGAGTAGTGTAATCAGATAAACAAGTAAATATTCTGTGTAAGCTGACTAGTATTGTATTTGGCTCTTAGGAGCCTGTATTCATTTGTAAGAAATCATCCTTTGGAATAAGTTTGTACTTAATATTGTGGTAACTTTTTGTTTTAGTTTGTTTTTACTCACATTTATTGTATTTGTTAGTTTTTTAATGATTTACTTGATTTTATTCATTTTATTGATCTTGTTTGTTTTACACTAACTTGTAAAGCACTATGGTCGAGCTTGTTTGTTTTAAATGTACTCTAGAAATAAGGCTGATATTGTGATTTTGAACTGGTTACATTTTCTGAAACATTTACTAATGTTTCAGAAATCAGTCATTAATGAGAGCTTCTTCTTCTTCTTCTGCTTTTTAATCCTAGGCAGTTTTAAGAGTTTGTTAAAATTTTTTAGTTTGCAGGTATTTTATTTCCATCAGAGTAAAAACTCCATGAATAAATTATTTTGCTATCATGTTTGAAGTGATGGCTTATTACCAGAGTTAGAAATCATAATAAATATTACATTTTGTTATGTTTACTTATTAATTTTGTGTTCCTTGTTTTAACCCTTTAAAGCCTGAACAATGAAATAATTACCAGAAAATTAATTTAAAAAAACAAACAAAGTGTATTGTGGAATTTATTTAGATTTTAGACAATCCCCACTGATGATGTAGAAGTCTCAAAAACTGTATGTGTCAAATATGATACACGAGGCGTTAAGAGGGTGAAGTGCCACATATGTGATTTCATCAGCCTGATCCTGGGTGTTTATTTCCGAGGGTTTCATACGGAAGATAAAAAAGAGGAAATCTTAGTCTCCTCTTCACACAGCTATATTTGTATTTTGTTGGTTGCACAGTTTTTTGTTTCTTTTCCAAATACTGCCATTTCTGCTCCGATTCTCTGCAGGGACTCACAAGCAGAACAGCGATGGCCGAGGCTCTTCTTTGCTTTTATCCATTTTACTGGAACTCCTACAGCGAGCTGTAGAAGAAGGTAAAACCTTGGAATTCATCACCACCAACACCCTGACTTACCAGATCCTCCTGAACTGCTTTAAGATTATTTATGGCTCTTTTTTTTAATCCTCAGATGCAGGCAATCCAGATAATCACCTGGACTATCAGGAGGTGAATAGAACCCACTTGTGAACATTCATCAGAGCCCAGTTCTATGTTTTTCTGTTTATGTTGCTTGTTACATTTTATTGTTGATGTTTGTCTGCGTGTCGCAAATTTGACTTAACTTATAATAAAATGCGCAAAATAAATGAAAATGTCCGTCTGCAAGATGTTAGAGTCTGATTTATGCGTGAGTTTATCTCTTCATTTGACTGTCATCATGTGCAGTTTGGTGGTGTGACGCATGGATGGATTTCCATTTACACTCATCCTTGTCAACTTATTAAAACAATTACGCCAGTCACTCATTCACACCATGAAGTGATTAACACCAGGATGACAAACTATCAGTCACTCATCATCGCGCCGTCTTCACAGCGGTCACTGAGAGAGCCGTGTCGGAGGTAGACGATCGGGATCAGACAGAGTTCATCGACTAATACATTCCAGTAAAATCACCATGAGCTTCCAGCAGGGTTTTAGGATTTATTTTATTGAACCATGTTGTTAGATCATAGGCCACATGTAACACTCTGCTCTTCACTTTCAGCAAAAGAGAAAGCCCATGTTCACAGATTTCTATCACGCTACATAAATAGCCAACACTGAAGAACTGAAACACTGCACTTATTGCTTTAGTCCCTGCTTCTTTTATTAGTTGCCAAAGCAACATGACACGTGGTCCCACAGTGCAACACAGCAAAGGACAAATGAGTCAGAGCATCTCACTCATTATTGGGGTCACCTTTTGGTCTCCAGCGAGCAGAAGTGCACAAACTGACCCCTACAGCTAAATCTGGCTGGATGAAACCCCTCCAAAAATCTGGGAATCTACATAGTGCAGTAGGCTGAAGGTGCAGAGGGGCAAAGCTTTCTGGTGTGACCGCGGAGTGATGCTGAAGGTCATGAGTAGTCAGGAAGGTGTAGCTATTAGCTCCCCCTGCGGGCAGGTTAGACATCCTGCAAGTCCTTCTGGATGTCCCAGAGTGTGTTAGCGCTGGCCTGCAGCTGGGCCACCTCTTCATCTGTCAGGGTCATGTTGATCACGCTAGCCACACCCCCGCTGTTCAGCACGCAGGGCAGACTCAGATAGACCTCGTCACTGATCCCGTACATGCCCTGTTAATGACAAAGCACACTGTCTTTATGTGGAAGGGCTTAGCGTCATAACAAAGACTTGCTATAGAGGTCTAAAGAGGGGAACTATAGGGAAAGCAATTGTTTTTTAAATATTAAAATATGACATTACTGTGTATAGAACAGGGGTGTCGAACTCCAGGCCTCGAGGGCTGGTGTCCTGCAGGTTTTAGATATCACCCTGGGTCAACACACCTGAATCACATGATTAGGTTCATTACCAGGTCTCTGGAGAACTTCAAGACATGTTGAGTAGGTCATTTGGCATTTAAATCAGCTGTGTTGGCTCAAGGACCCATCTAAAACCTGCAGGACACCAGCCCTCGAGGCCTGCAGTTCGACACCGCTGATCTAGTGCATCTACACATCATGAAATATATTACATATGTACTCACACAAGCTCAAAGGGGGTGGAGTTGAAATCTGAACACCCAACGTGGAGCTTGAGCCCATGACCCTGAGATCAACAGTCTTATGCTCTAGCCCAGGGGTGGGGAACTCTGGGCCTCAAGGACCAGTGTCCTGCATGTTTTAGACGTGTCCGTGATCCAACACAGCTGATTTAAATGGTTAAATTACCTCCTCAACATGTCCGGTAATGAGGCCTAGTAATGAACTTATCATTTGATTCATGTGTGTTGACCCAGGGTGATATCTAAAACCTGCAGGACACAGGCCCTTGAGGCCTGGAGTTCCCCACCCTTGCTCTGGTGACTGAGCTTCAACTCTAGAGAACGTGTCGACTGAACCTGCAAATGTTCTGCGTTTTTCCTTGAAACTTGCCTTTTGGAATATATAATGATTATCCAAACAGATGATTACATCTGATGATTCTTTTTTGGCTTAGTGTTTCACTCTTACTATCAGAAAAGTGGCTTGGGAAAAAAAGAGCTTTATTTAACACAACTGGTAATTACACTCACACTTTATACATTTTGGATTCAAAATTCTAGTTAAAGTTATATTTTAAAGAATACTGGGAAATTCTTTAACGAGTACATGAACATGAGCGTCTGTTACCTCCACCATGGTGGAGACGGGATGAATCCTGTTCATGTTCCTTATGAGACTCTCTGTCAGGTCGGCTACGCTGAGACCGATGGCCCAGTTGGTGTAGCCTTTCAGTTTGATCACCTCATAGGCACTAAGAGATGTAAAACAAACAAACAAACAAAAACATGTCTAAAGTGTCTAAAATCATGAAAATTCACCGAGATTGATTAAGACAGCGACAGGTAACAGCTAAGGTAGCGATAGGTGATACGTCTGTGTCGTGTCTAAACGGTCAGCCATTGTATTGTGACGTGGTGTTGACTCGGTAAAGATGAGATCTACACTCATCTACACAATATTTTAAACTCGCTGATGTTGATCCAGCATGAAAGAAAGAGAGACTTTTAGCCTGAAGAATTTCAGAATTGAAGAGAAAGTTTGCAGATGAGCTTCCATGTTGGCCTTAGTTTGAAATCTGACCCATGTCAGGGTTTCCGACCAATAAGGTGCAGCTCTTTGCTGATAGTGCACATGTCCAGCATTGACTGTGACTGTGTTATCAACTTGCCCATCAGTGAACAGAGATATCGGCTCACCACTAGCAGGTGAGTTTAAAAAGATCATACTTTAAAATATTGTATCCATAAACTAGATTTAAGCGACCTCCAGCCTACCTGTCCACCACCTTCTTGTGAGTCTCTTTCCAGTTCTCGTCGTCGCTGTCAGTGCCGATATCAGGGTTTAACGTCTGCAGGCTGACTCCAGCCACGTTTGTTCCACTCCACACAGGCACTGTAACACATCTGGAAACCATCAACCTTCATGCACGTACACACCATACACAGTTATTGCCTACAGCATCCTCACCACTTGTGTCTCCATGCTCTCCCAGGATCCATCCGTTGAAGCTGCTCGGGTGGATTCCCAGTTTGTCAGCCATCAGGAAACGGAAGCGTGCCGAGTCCAAGTTGGTGCCGCTGCCGATGACACGGTGCTTTGGAAGCCCGCTCAGTTTCCAGGTCACATAAGTCAGTATATCGACTGTCAGAGAGAGGGAGAGATTTATAGTGTTAAAAGGTGAATACTGCAAGATTTCATGTCTGAGGACGTAAATAAAGAAGAGCTATGTGGTTGGCTGAACCTGGATTGGAAACAACAATGATGACGCAGTCAGGGCTGTATCTGACAATCTGGGGGACGATGTGCTTAAAGATGTTGACGTTTCTCTGAACGAGGTTCAGCCTGCTCTCCCCCTCCTGCTGACGGACTCCAGCGGTCACCACGACGATGCGGGAGTTAGCTGTAACCGAATAGTCTGAAATACAAATTTTAAAAAACAGATCAGTTTGGGTTCACATTCTCCTTCAAACCTTTGCAAAGGTGGGAAATTAAATTTAAACAGCTCCATAGTGAGCTGCACCCTGTAAATACTTTTTAAAGAGTTTTAATTAAAACTAAGGCTGCTTTATGAGATTGAGCTCCTGTGTGTTTGCATGTGTGTGTGTATGTGTTTGTGTCTGCGATATGAACTCGCCTTTATCTGCAACTATTTTGGGGGTTTTGAGGAAGAGGCTGCCATGCTGCAGGTCCATCATCTCTCCTTTCAGCTTATCCTCCACCACATCCACCAGCGCCAGCTCATCAGCCAGCTCCTGCACATATCAGACAAGGTCAAACCGATCCATAGTACAGTTTGCTTGTTGCCATTAGAACTAGTTGAAAAAAAGAACATAATAGAGAGCTTCAAGTGAGTCTGTTTTAAGCCTAATGGCTTAAATAATTGTTTTATGATGTATGATTCAGTCCAACGGTGAAACGGGTTATCTAATTTAAGTGAATGAAAATAAAACCTGAACAGCTTTAGGAGAACTCCACTGTAATTCTTCCTTTTTGATTACAAATACATGTTTCCTTGTTAACAAGTGCAGTAAAGGGATAACGGTCAGATCAGACACCAAGAGATCAGTAATCTCGTGGCAATCTTGGAAGAGCCTGAGTATGATCCCATCTCGTGACCCCAGCAGGCAGCGTGGTAATCTGAGAGGCAGAACCAGTGAGACTCTTACCCTGAGTAGGATGCTGAGAGCGCAGGCCATGCCAACCTGGCCCACACCCACCACTGTAACTTTATTCCTCGGAGGCTCAGGTGGACCACTGAACAGCGGTGTGATCAGTTTCTGCAGGACTGAAGCCATTTTCAGTGCTGAGAAGTGTAAATGAAAGAAGAAAGGGATGAGCGTTTAGGGTCAGGTGAAGCAGCAAAGCATTTTACACAGACACGACAGTAGCCAATGGTCCTGCGTGCAGCCTCGCATGCACACAACTCATAAATAAGTCAGAGTGCAGAGGGATTTCTAACGCAAGCCTGACATACAGTGGCATAGAAGAAAACCACTTCTCAGACACTTCGATCATTTACAGCAGTTTTCTCTTTTTTGAAATGGAACTGAAGGCAAAGGAAGGAGGGCAGGAAAAAGAAAAGGCTTCAAGGACAACTAGAGAGTGCATTATTTCCCTTTCTAGCAGGTATGAAGAAGGCGATCTGCTCTCAGACAGAAACGTATTAGGTCCTGTCTCACGCGTTCTCTATTTGCAGAGAGTTCACCTTGAAATGACATATGGCCAGACACAAAAACACCAGCAATACTTGCATTGTCCGATGAAGCTCCGAGCTGCAAGGTATAAATACCACCATGTAATCAGCATGGCCACCTGGATGGATGACTAAGTCGTGTTCCTACAGAGCTCTGTCCCCCTCCTGCATCCACAACACCTCCCTGAGTCACAGTTTTTGCAATGCAGTCGGTCCAGGCAAGTATCCGCTCAGCTGCAGCAGTCCCACAGAGCTCATGTGACTCAGGGTTAGATGGAGGAGCTGTCAGCTGCACAGAGCTCTGCTCCTCACCTCCCTCCCTCCTTCCCAAACGAGGAGGACGTAGCAGTATAATCGGATGCCAAACTTGATTGACTGACTGCAGACTGTTAAAGGAGTTACTGTAATCCCTTAACGCTGCTTCCATCTGCTACACCTCACCTCTAATGGGAGGTCTCAAAAGAACAGCTGATTTCTATTTAAAAGGCTTGATAATTTATTCTAAATGAATGAAGGGACCTGCTTTATGTCTCTCTAAGCACAGTTTAAAACACTGGCCTGTAATGAATCTGAAATGATGCTGTTGTTAAACAACCATCAGATACGTTTAGAAATAATTAGATTAAAACCATGCACTGCAAATTGCAAATAATGTAAAGCAAGGGGCACTTATGCTTGAAGAGACAGACATTAACATCCCTGTGCGTCTCTAATAGCAGGCATGAATGCTGAATATGCTGCTATTGAAAGTGCAATGCTGAAACGATCCATTCATTATCCAAGACCGAAGCTGGATTACCAGCTGACAGCACCATGCACTCCAGTCATGTAAATGTGAGCGGTTAATGAGATGGCTTAGCATCCAAGGTCATTGGGGAGGGAAGGAGGGAGGGAGGGTGACAGCAGTTTTCATAACTCTCAGTCAACTGCAGTAGAAGCATGGTTGGTACTCCAACACAGTGAGGTAGTCGGCTGCGACGTCTGAAAAAAGTTACATCTGCCTTGAACTTGAACCTAAACAGCCACTGCGGGGGAGGATGAGATATAATGAATACATGATGACAAAACAAAGCAACAGGAAAGCCTAAAGCCCCAAACTCAGCTATAAAATTAATGTAATGCAGAATTTTAACTTCTAGCTAATTGCCCTGCTTATACATAAACTTTTCATTTGTGGTTGTGAAACAAATCCCTTAAAAAAAAACAAAACTGACTGCCACTGTAAACACAAGCAGACCCTACGTATATGTAAACTTAAATGTGACTCACAGTTCTGCACACACTGAAATGGACCACCCTAAAGTGAGAATGAAGAGAGGACTAATGCAAGCAAAACAAAGCCAAAGGCATTCAGGTGTCACAAACTGCTACACATATTTCAACAACAGAAAGATAAAATTATACTATCTACACAACACGGAAATACCGCAGTTCACCTGTTTTGTTGAGCGTCCAGGTATAACTCCTTGGGCTACAGTGAGACTCTCCTCTGTTGTGCTGTACGGTGTGGCTACTCTTCTTCCTGTTGTGCTGTCAGCCTGCAGTCTGCCGGATTTAATGGGCTAAGCCTCTCCGTCCCCTGCAAAGACTCAATTTGGCACTCCATCGGCCACCACAGTCAGCTGGTACATCATTCACTGACACTTCATGCAAAATAACAAAACATGACTACGTATTCCAAAAACATAAACCAAAAATAGAGCTGTTATTGTTGCGGACATTATTGTCACATTTACTTTACATATTCAGTCGGTGAATGAATGCCACATGCCGGTGACTCCAGCAGATTTGGTCTTGTGGCGTTTGTCCTTCTAGCCGGTCTTGGGTTGGAATTAGCAAAGTTAATAATTAACAAACAAAAAGCCCTGCGTTTTAGTGTCAGTACAACACTCACGCACTCTGATGGGCCTGCCTTTTACCTCACTATGTAAATATACTTAATATAAATTAGGTAATTTTGCCTTTATTTCCTGACTTTCAATTATCTTTAAAAACAAACAAACAAACAAACAAACTTATTTCAGCTTGTATTTTTCTTTAAACTGTTCCAAGAAATAGATGTGTGATTCAGCTGCAGGTGTGGACTGACCGAGCATTTGGACGCGGAGTCCTTTTTTACACGCTGCTGGATCTGAGTGTCATGAGGACACTTTGTCAAACACAAGCACACACACCAGTAAACCAGCAGGGGGATACAGTCTCATGCAGAAAAGATTCATAAAACACTGTGTGCAGTTCATGAGGGAAGGCATGAAATGCAGCAAAGTGCAAACGCATTCTTTCATCGCCTTTAAAAAGCCACCAGTGCACGTGCTGTCCTGGAGGCAGCAGTCCAAGCAGAGGTTCCCTGGACCTCCCTCTCTCCAGCCACTTCCTACATATCTTCTGGGGGAATATTGGGAGGTACCTAAACCAGCTGAGATGCATAATCTCTCCAGCTTGTCTTGGGTCTTCACCCAGTACCACGTGCATGAAACACCTTACCTATGAGGCTTTCTGCAGGCATCTTAGTGAGGCCCCTGAACTCAACTCCATGACCTACTACTCTATTGTCATGGAGGTGTCTGTGTGACTGAGTGATCTTGTCCTGGACAATTTGCTGCTTGTAGCGTCTCTTAAGGCAAATTGGTCCTGGGTGAGGGGCCTGACTAAGACCTTGACTTATAGACCAATGGTGCAGGTTACCTTACCCTGGGTAGGGTTACTGGGGCCATCCTGGAGCCTGGTCTGGAAGAGGCCCGCTGTCAAACAAATTAAAGCTAGCTTCTGAGAGCAATGAACACCATTTTTACTTCAGAGATTGTAATTGTCTCCATGAGTTTACAGTGATGACAACAGAAGCTACCATATCTGATTTCTTATTTAATATCACAACAAATGTTCAATAAATGAAAAGCTATGGCGTTCAAAAAAGAAAAACAAAACATGCATAAAACACTTATTGGTCTCAAAGGATTCACAGACAGAAGAAAAAAAAATAATCTAGCAACAACCAAGTTTATTTTATGATACACTGCCTACATTATCATAAATAAACAGATTCAGAATCCTTACCCACATAACCCCTGCCGTTTCTGTCCGTTGTGGGAGAGCTGCCTGATGATCAAATCACTTGAGTTAACTCAGCAAGGTTCAGATTAAGATACAGTATTACTTGCATGTATTGCTTTACAATATGCTATAAAAAGTTGAACACGCCACTTTAGAAAAATATCAAAATAGAAACAATCCCCGCCACCGAGAAATCTTCCAACATCCCCTCGAGTAAATGCATCCTTGCTTGTTACTCCAAGCGGATAAACGACCCCATTCGGAGAAACCTGGAGCGTCTTTACAATTTTGCCCAGGCGGAACTTGTGACAAAAATAAAATGAGGGTAACTGTTTGGAGAAAAAAAAAAGAGGAGAGGAAAAATTAAAAATAAAAAAATAAAAGGATTTACTTTCCTCCTCTTGGAAACACCTGCAGCCTGTGAGGTGGGCTATGTGGGTGCACGCTAAACAGCCAGCCCTGCATAAAGGACCGAAGGATCAGAAATCTTATAAAAACAGGACAAAAGAAAAAGCACAACAGAGCACTACAACTCAACGCGTAGAAACTCACATGAACTGGACTGGCAGGGATGGACGAAACCAGTAACCTGTGATCGCTGAATTCTTTATTTTCCTCATAATTTTCTGTTTGCAAGTCTTAAACGAAAATGTCGATGCAAGAGGCAGAAAGCAGAGTAAACTTTATAACCTCAACCTGCCAAGTGTAAAAATCGCTACAATACACAAAGCTGAGAATTAAAATTTAAGCCATGATCACAAATCCCGTTATGAGAGATCTTAGCAGTGATCAGTTATTTAAAAAAAGATTAAATAAAAAAAAAATAAAAAAAAGAGCTTCTAATTCATGCTTGAACGTGGGCCGATTTTCCTCATGCAGTGATGTGACCTGATTACACCACGCCTCCTCCCAACACAGACCACATGAAAAACGTTTGAGCTGAATCAACCTGAGCACCATAGAAATAAATCAAATATTCTACTTAACACTATAGCTGGAGAGAAAATGTTGAAATTGATACCAATGACGCACTGATTGTGAAAATTTGGCCTGACAGCGATGCTTACAGTGACAGTACGGCCTAAAGCTAATGCTGGCTTTTATTTATCTTGTTTTTATATTCCTCTTTTGTGGCAGGGAAACACATAAATCATCATCATATTAACTAAATATCATTTTATCAAACCATCTGTGAACATTTAGCACAAAACAGATGACACACAACAAATAACCCCCTCCCCCAATGCCAATGAAATGTCATCATATTTGCCAATAAGCTGATCAGTTAACAAGGCCAGTAACAACCAACACCATTCGATACATGAGTGCGTCCCTATTTGATAAAGAAACACGGGTGTAGACATTCTGGTGTTAGTATAAGCGCTGCTCTGTGCTTGGGGATAAAAAGAAAAAAGAAAATTATATATATGTAGATGTACGGGAGGGCACTAAGTGCTAATAGTGTCCAGGCACTTCACCGTCAGAAAACACCTGGCACACGGCGTCGGAAAAAAAACAAACTACAGTATGACCTTTAAAAACTACAACCATGCACGGATAAAAATGGCCTCTCCGTTCTGCACTCATTTCTACATATGAGGGTTATAATACACACAAAGACACAAACAATTCACAGATTAAAATCAACATTAAAATTAGTCTCTTCTGACTGCCACAAACAGTGTTATCCAGAAGCTACTGTTTGAATATACCTCCCTCTTGTGGCAGGAGGAAAGTCAGAGTCCAGAGAGGACAATTTTTAATCGTTCCAATTAAATCTGTCCACACATGGAGGAAAAGAGGTGAGCAAGGTTTACTGCTTGAGTTGTGGTGTGCTGTGGTGGGCGGCAGGGAGGTGCTGTGGATATGGCGAGGGGCTGCTGATGGTCTTTACTTGGGATGCCCTCTGTGACACCGCTGCCGCTGATGCCCAGGTAGGTGGCGACTTTGTCCACGGCGCTTTGGACCGGGACGACGACGCTGTCAGAGAGGCCTTTGAGGGTATTGATCTGATCGGCGTCCAGGTTCTGGTAGACAAAGAACAGAGAAGCGCACACCACCACAAGGAGCAGGAGCTTGAGCAGCAGGGGCAGGAAGCTTCGTCGAACTGGTGCTGCGTTTGGGGAGACTGTGAAGCTCGGCCGGGACAGAGACTCAGAATACAAGTTGTATTCGGTGTGGACATCGGTCTTCACGCGGGACTCATCCAGCCAGTACTCACTTGGTTTTAAAGGCCGACCAGCTGCCCCTCTGATTGGACGCCTGCAGGTCGCACTGATAAAAAAAAAAAAAAACCCCAAAAAACCCAAAACAAAAGCAGGAAAAATTTGATTAGACTGAAATTAAATAAATACATCTGTGCACTCAGTTTTCCCCACAGCTCGCGCTCACATATTACGATCTTTTCTGAGCAGATCAAAAGGATCTAGACCCAAATTTAAAGATTTTAAATATTTAACCTTGCCATTTAAAGAACTTCTTTTCTTTGCACAAAATAAAGCAACATTATCTTTTTGTGCTGTAATGTGAATTAATCTAGTTCCAAAAAAACAAAAAACACCCCCAAAAACTCTAGAGCAGGGGCATCTCAAACTCGCGGCCCACGTCACCCCTACTTGCATAATGCAATTTGGCCCTTGAAGTTATTTTTTGTTAGGGAGGATTTGTTTTTGTTTTTTTATTGAGTGCAATGTTAAAATAAGTTCTTTAAAAAGCAAAAAACAAATATTCAATATGAAGGCCATATGAGCAGAGAGTACAAACATGTTGAGGGATTGGCTGTGTTAGTTCAGTGAGAGAGTGTTTGTAAAGAAAACATTTTTTCACTAGCAATCAAAAACTAATGTGTACAGTTATGTCTGCATTTTACTTTTGCTAAATACGAACAAAACTGTAGCTGAAGCGCTGCCACGTATCTGGCCAGAAGGAGAATACCAATTTGTTTATTTAGTAGTTCAATAAAAGGCTGCTCTAGAGCATGAGGTGAATACTTCAAGTGTGAGCTGGGTTTTGAGAGGAACTGATTGAAGTTTTCTTCAATGGGAATTTTTATGAGTCTTTGTGACCAATATTGTCAGCACACAAAACAAAAATTCAGTATTTTCTTCAGTTGATTTTTTGTGTGTTCAGAAAAAAAACTTGTATAAGTTTTGGTATTTTATTAAAAGTGCTCCAAGTAGATGGAAAGAACTGCAAGTGATTTACAGCATTTCCCAGCCATTTTTAATGTCTTTGTTAGAGATGGACCGATCCGATATTACGTATCGGTCCGATACTGACCTAAATTACTGGATCGATATCGGAGAGAAATATCAGTAAATATCAAAAAGCACTTGCAACATGGCATAACTCGGCTCATAACCGTAGCACGTCGGAGCAGTATGCGTCACGTGATAGAGCGGCTGTGGGTGCGGGACCTATCTGCGGTCAGGCTGAGCATTTGGAGCCTCGCTACCAAACCGGCATTTCATCTCTGAGAAAGTGATCCCAGAGAGAAGTAAAGCAAGTGTGTAAGTTCATCTCTGAATGTTTGTAAAGCATTCCAGCGTTAAGCTTAACAACAGATATATGGAGCGACTGCCTCTCTCCCTCCCTCTCCTGCTGCTACTTCAATCATGAAACTGATTAATGATCAGCTGATCGGCTTTTCTGTCGCGACTGTCTCTCTTGTTTGTTTATCACCCACTTCGCGCCAGAAAGAGGAAACCAGCGGCTGAACAACAGCAGCACGTTTACGCTTGATAAGCTGTTGTTAGAATTTATTTAATATTACTTTCTACACCAGGATCCATTTCTGCGCAGCTAACGGCTGGTAACTGTGCAGGGGCGGATCTAGCAAAGTTTAGCCAGGGGGGCCGATAGGGCAATAACAGGGAAAAGGGTGCACAAAGACATACTTTTCTTTCTTATTCTCATTTAAAATGTCTAGCTGTTACGATCCAATGTTGTCAGTGTTTTGTGTTGGGCGTGACTGTTATGTGTTTCCTGTTTTACTTTGAAGGTCTGTCTTATCTCAGTGTGTTCGGTTTACGCTTCCTTGTCTCGTCAGTTCTGATTTGCCCCAGCTGTGTTTCCCTCCTGTTGTTCATTCCCTGATTGCTCCCTCTATGTATTTAAGCCCTGTGTTTCAGTTTGTCATGGGTCGTGATCATTGTGATGTTGGTATTGTAGTTTTGTAAATAGCTGTAAATAGATTTGTAAAGTAGCAATTGAGTATTTTTTCCACCTTGTATATATTGTTCACTGTAGCAGCCTAGTAGGCGTGAGAAGCCATTTTTGTTGATTAAGTTTTCTCCTGTTTTTCATGTAGCGAGTTAGGTAAGGGAATTGTCTTTTGTTTGGTTTTCAGTTTGGGTAAGAAAGCATAGGGACCATTAGGGAGTTTTGTTTGTTATTTTTGGCACTGCTCACTGCTGAAGCAAATAAATGGCTGCTTAGCATTTTAAAAGAGATTGTTGTTTGTGTTCTTGCTTGAGTGGAGTGTGAGTGGGCCAATGTTTTGTTGCGTTCAAGACAGGCCTAGACCTAGAACGTAACATAAAGAACACGCCAGCGAAGACAGACGAAGGCTGAAGCGGTCATTCTTGTTTGGGTGGTGTGTGAGTGGGCCAACTTCTTGTTGCGTTCAATACTTGCCTAGACTAAGAACGTAACACTTTTAATAAATAATTATCTGAATCTTACACCCAAAGGTTTAATCTGATGTAAAATGTATAGAAGTCCATTACTGTATATAGTACCTATTAAGTCTAATATACCCTAGTAAGCTATAGTACTTTTTCCCTTTGGGAAGGTACCAGCTGTGCAGTCTGCAGTTCTGTTGAAGAAAGATGTTGAATCTATTTAAATATTGTAGAAAAATAATTGATTTCTGTGGATTTTTTTTTTTTTTTTCCCACACTGCATCAAATTAAAGTTGATTATGTCGATTAAGCATCATGAGGTGGAGGGTGGGGGGGGGGGGTTCCCTATTTTTTATTTTTTTTTGCTGGGAGTTTACAACCCTATTAGTTAAGTAGGTAAGTACTCCTTAAAATACCAGAATAGGAAAATGGAGTAGGTTTAAGTTTATTAGATTGATCATTATTGCTGAACTATGAAATATTTTGGGTGCAGTGTATTTCTTGCATACAGGTATAACAATAGCTTTAGTGGGTTTTTAAAACTTGAGTTTGAACTTATACAAAATGCAGCAAGATATTAAAAAAAAACAGTTTTATTGATTAAAAACACACTATATCGGATTCATATCGGTATCGGCCGATATCCAAATTTATGATATCGGTATTGGACATAAAAAAGTGGTATCGTGCCATCTCTAGTCTTTGTATGCTATGTTTAGCTTTTTTATGTAGTTTGGGTAAAGTGTCAAAGCCAAGCAGATTTTTAGTTTGAGCTAACAAATGTTGATCAGTTTTACTTACACACCTTGCAGATTACTGGCTTTGTGTTAGCATTACGTAGTAAACAGTAGGGCTGCTCGATTATGGCAAAAATGATAATCACGATTATTTTCACCGAAATTGAGATCACGATTATTTGACGATATTTATTTAACCCTTTAAGACCTACCATAGAACCAAGTCCGCCAGAGCTTATATTATTTTTTTTGTATATGCTGTAGTGCCATTTGTGGGAGCATTTCAAGTTGCTATACATCAATACAACTGTTATAGCCCATATTTTAATAATATGTATGCATTAAGTCCATAGTAACTACATTAATTGCAAACAAGTGCAATAAACTACAAAAAAATTGAAAATCGTTTTTGTTTTGTTTACATATATTTCTACTTGGAGAAATTTAAGAGGTTTATCCCTCAAAACTTTAAATACAAAAAAGTTGCAAAAAATAGTTTACAACAACAGGAAATTTATTTTGAGTGTCTTCATAGTTTTATTTTGGAGATACAGCAATTTTTATATACTGCAGGAAAAACAAAAAAAACAATCCTATGATGCAAATTTGCAAAGAAAACAGCATGTGCATCAAAATAAACTATTTCCAGCTGTGCAATTCGAGTTCTAAGCATCCCAGCAACTATTCAGAAAAGTATAGAGTCAAACATGACTTATAAAAACACTAGTATAAGTATAGTATAGTATAGTTTTTTACTTAAGGCCTACAAGTAAAAAACTACATTTTCTGCAAAAATGACATCACTTCCGGTTTCGGGCAGGAAATGCGATAGTTCGAGTTGACATCTTTTTCAAAGTGGGAAGTGTTAGGAACAGCTGATGGATCGGTAAAGCGTGTTTCTGGAATATTATGTTTTTGTTCCTGCAAGCGCTTTTTATGCAATTTTTGCAAAGCTTTATGTGGAAGGAAACCGTGACCGAGGACAAGCTGATGGCATAAGATGTAAGTACAACTCCTCCGGTTTCATATGCAAAACAAATTATTGCGCTAGCTTAGCGGTTCAGGTTCTACAGGGATTTAAAAATAGTTACGCAAAACGGAGTGTGCTGCTCTGACCGGCTTTAAAGGGTTAACAATAACAATGTATTGAATAATGACTTTAAAAAATAATATAAAATAGTGTGCAAATACTGATAACAGTGCAAATGTTTGCAATATAAGAAATAAATGAAAAATGTAAACATCTATGTTTAGTCAACTTTGCAGTGTTGCTCTGTGGTGCAGCTACTACATCGTAGCAAAGTTTACACACTGTCTACTTGATCCACGTCTAACTCCGCCAACCCATAATGTTTCCACACCACTGAAGTTTTTTTTTTTAACCTCTTTTCAACCAACGGCAGTCACTCTCCTCTCCAAATAACTTCTGCTTAGCTTTCCGAGCTTCCCTCGGGTCCTCTTAATTGTTGTGATGCGTGTTCGAAATGGAGAGCGGTGCGCTTGACTTACCACACGGAGCAGCGCGAGAGTAAAGCATGAGGGAGGGTCTAATAATCGGCTCAGTCATTTTTAATGATCGTTGAAAGCCCAGATTGTAATCGTGATTAAAATTCAATTAATTGAGCAGCCCTAGTAAACAGACATAGTCACAGCCTTCTGTGTATTCCAAATTATAACAACTAGAGCTGGGCGATATGAGATTTTTTCATATCACGATATGTTTTTTTCATTTCAGGCGATAATGATATATATCACGATATAAGCCAAATAACTATATTTGTAAGATTTAAATGTGCTGTTGCTCACAAGTAAAATGTGAAATAATTAGCAGCTTGTTTTTATTTAAATATTTATTTCCCATAATAAGTTCAACAGGGTAGATGTACTTAAGGAACATGAGACTTTTTCAGATAGATAAAGGCAAATATTGCAAACTACACAAAAGGCAGCCGCTAAAGCGTTTAAGTTTCAAAATAGAACAAACGAAACAGACTAAATTGTCAATTCCACTTAGAAACAAAATATTAATTCTAAAAATAAATCTTAGTTTGTTTTACAGAAGAACAGACAAAACTGACTAACTTTTGTCAATATCAAATAAACTGAGAACTAAAAGGAAATTCTCAATCTCTCCTTGTTGTATAGCTGAGCTTTTCAAACAGTTTTAACAGTTACTTTAGTCTGACAAAAGCCGAATGACGAATTAGCGCTTCCAGTCAGAGACTGAGGCTACGTCCACACGTACACGGGTATTTTTGAAAACGGAGATTTTCGGTTTTCGTTTTAAAAAACAATCCCGTCCACACGTAAAGGCAGAAATGAAGGAAAACGCTGCTATGAACATGCCAAAGCAGCAGGTGGCGCTAGATTCCTAACCGTGCAGAAATGTTGGCCAATCAGAAGTCTAGAAGCCTCGGTGGGAAAAAGTAAACAAAGCTGGGGCATAGAAGCAGAACCGAGTCGTATGTGTGGACGGAGAGTAACTGTGTGTATATGTAATCATTTAAACACTGCAGAGAGTAGAATTAACAGTAACAGTATTGTAGAAATTCATTTCACCGAAACAATAACGTAGCGCACAGTGTGACGCATGCACCAGTTTATTGTATTTCCAGACTTGCTTTCGGCACAATTTACAGTGCGAGCTACTCTGTTTTTTGTCAGACTTGAAATAGCCGAAATACCTTCACACTACGGAACTTCTTTGGCTCTTCCGTTCGACAATCTCTCCGGCATTGGAACCATCATCTGTTTTCTCTTCGGTCACGCTCGGTTGATTTTTCTAGTCGGCACACTCATTTCCTCCATTACGCGCTGGCTCCATTACCCGCTGGCTGCTTCCCAAACAAACACACGTGCGGCTTGGCACTTGTGCTGTACGTAACAAGTCACGCGACGTGACACTGCGGCTGTGATTGGTTCAGCTCTGCGCTACTGAATTTGGATCGGCTGACCTTTTTTTTTTTTTTTTTTTTAAGAGGACAAGAGCGGCGAGGTCTATCGCGATAGCTTAATTTCTCTATCGAGTAAAAGTTATATCGCGATACATATCGTTATCGTTCTATCGCCCAGCTCTAATAACAACCCATGTTTAGTTTTTTTTTTGGCTACCAAGAACAATTACACTTGCTGGAGTCTGCACTGTAGCACTGTCAAAAGCCCTCCGACTCTCTAACACATCACAGTAGTCGTGTTCTTTAATATTTCCAAATATCCGGTTCGCATGTTCCATACAACTGTCTCAAAACAAATAAAGACAAATAACATAAAACATGATTATCAGGTGTTACCTGATGCCGGTTGGTGTGCTTATTTCATTGGCAAGGATATCTTCAACCACACTCTCAGTGGCCTTTTTAGGGGTTTCTTCAGGAATTTCCTCCACCACCTGTCAGTGTAACATAAAACATGTTCACGCAAACTGAAACTATGCTGTAATTATAGTGGGGAGCGATGAAGGGAGATGAGCAGGTTAGTGAGGTATGCAGAGCTTGAAGTCAACATCTTTAGTGTTATGATTTCAGTGTTATTCTAGTGGCACTCTTTTTACCTAACTAGATGCTGATACTAAATAAAACTAACCACAACTCCTGGCCTGAAGCTGGTGAAGTTTTAGTTTAAAATTGACTTTAACCTCCTAGGACCTGGTGTCCACATATGTGGACATCACATTTTGGATTATTTAGACCAAAATACTCAATTTTGCTCTACAAGGGCCTGATATCCACTTACGAGGACATTATACTGATACTGTTCTACTAAACAATTGAAACAAATATCCTCATGTGGCTCTTATTTTTCTTAAAAACAAAAATAAGGTTAAAAAAAAAAAATCTGGTAATTCTTTCTTTTTACATTTATCAGGCCCCAATATGCCCAAATATTTTATAGTGTCACATTTTTACTGAATATTTCCTTTTGCTGAGGAAATGTGTTACACATTCACCCTTTTGAGCTGAACATTGGGAATACCACCACATCGCACCCTGCAGTTAAACTGAAGCTGTGCAAACTCTGCGTGCTGCAGAGTGACGAGAACGTGCATGCATTCAGTTGGTGATGCAGAAAAACATCATCAACTGAATCCAGAGTGGGTCAAGTGACACATGAACTTATCTTTATGCTTGGTCTGTTTTACTCTGTGGGAATTGTTGTGAATAAGATGGGTTAGAAAAATATTAGTCTATTTGTTGGCTTTTTAGTAATCTATAATATTAAATAACTAAATCCACTTAAGACACTTTGCACTCTGAGACTGCCAATTATTATTACTGATGCAGAGCTGGTAGTGAGCCTCACCTTTGTCTGCCGTTTGCTGCTGGTTCTGACAGTGACAGGAGCTTTTCCTCTGCTCCTCACAGACTTCTCTACCACAGGAACTGGCTCTGGTTCAGGGGCAGGGACCTCCTCTGTGTGAAGATTGAAATGAGGGAACATCAATATCATGATGTGTATTTGTAATACCCATGGGATATTACAAATATGTATAATGTGTAATACTCATGGGCCTATTGCAACCAATTTGAAAACTTTTTCCTCGATGAAACCCCCAACCAACCAACACCCCCCCAAGGGCTCACCGTCTTCTTTGTCGCTGTACTGGTCGGAGTTTGTGTTGCCGTTCTGATTACTGTCTGCCTTGGGGAGAGTTGTGACAGTAGGAGCTTTGGGTTCAGCTGGAGGCTGGTCCAAAAGCTTCTGCAGCCTCTTCTCATACACCTTACGGGTAGAGGCTGAAAGGACACAGAGGGATTAAAGGGGAAATAATTCATGCCTTTCATTAAACGTTTGCATAGTATTTGCCTTAGTTTTCTTTTCAGATTTACCGGTATCTTTGTATCATTTCATTTTCATTGTATGATTATGCAATGTTCTGCATAGTACAGATTTTTATAATTTTTTTGGACAATGGATTTGATTCTTATCATAAAACGTTTTGTGTTAGGTGTGCCTTGATGCATTGGTTAATCTGCCTGCATATTGTTTTTTTTCTATCATCTGGTTAAAATGCTCGCTGATTCACCGTACTGACTGGCTGTGGAGGCTCATCTGCACGTCTCCCTCTCCTCAAGCTTTTTTTCCTCAGTTGCTTTTTGCATTTTTCTTATTTATTATAAGTGGAGTGGGAGTTACCAGCAGTAACTAACAGTAGAAACAAACTTACTAAAAATGACTGTTTTCAGTTTTAGATTTGTTTAGTTCACTAATTTAGCCCAACTCTAATCTGTTTCTTTTCCCTGACCTCTCATCACCTTTGTATTTAATCATTGCAAGTAATTATGTTCATCTCACATAACTAATATATTAGGCTCCTTGTAGTCATGGATTTAGCAACAATCCACGGCACAGTGTAACAAATGCACTGCCATTTTTATTTTTATAACTGGAAAACCCTTGACTAACTGTTTTGCTGTTACAAAAAATGGGTTTAAAAATATAATTTACCTTTAAAACAAACATATTCTCTTATGACAGCATAGGTCTTGACATTTATTGTTGGACTAGACTTGTTTTGACTACGGTGTTGTACATTTGTATAGTCTTGGGTTGGGTTGGAATTAGATCAAATCTTACACTTAAAAAAAAAAAAAAAAAAAAAGAAGCCAGATTTTCCTGTTTCGACTGTGATTAGTATAAAAATATCACGCTATTCGTATCATTGTTTGATTCAGTTTTTAAAGGATTTATTGCGATTGCTTTTTTTCTTTTTTAAAATTTTCCTTTTTAAAAATATTTTTAATTTTTCTGTTTGTATCTGTGCTCTTGCCATCTTGATAAATTACATTTGTTTTATTTTGCATGTGTAGGACATGAATGAATGAATCCAGGGAACTCACCAACAATGGGTCCTACGTCCACACCATGCTTTGCCAGCTGCTGTTTTAAGTCTTCATCAGTCAGATCTGTCACCTCCACTTCCTCCGCGCGAGGCTTGTCTGTCTTTCTGGTAGCTTTCTGTAAAAAAGGTGAAAAAAAAAGAAAGAAGAAACATTAGTGTTGCAATTTTCGAAACATAAACCAGTCCAATCAGACGCGTGGAGACTACCATCAAACCACAGGTGGGAAAAAGTAAAAATAAAACCTAATTTTTAGCAATTAGAAACTTACCCTTCCGGAGCGACTTTTGTTTGACACCACCGGGGCAGGTAACTCTTCATCGCTGGAGAAGGTGTCTGCAGGTGGGGTCTTCTTGTTGTTCAGTACGGTCAGGTTCTTCAGATACAGCTGCACATACGCTTCTTTTTTATGCTCTCCGCTCGGAAGGGGCACATTGTTTGCCGTAAGCTCGTTTTTCAGCTTGTCTTTCGTGAGAACTGACGGATCTTCGAGGAATTCTGCCATTCTAACTTTATTTTTATTGTTAAAAAATCTCTGAGCGATTTCCTTCGTGACTAACGGAAGCTAGTTCGCCGAGCCGCTACAAACAACACCGGGAACGTGACGGAATAGCGCTGTTGTCAAACAGAAGTGGCGCCTACCCGCTGCCAATTAAGCTAGCAGGACAGAAGCGGTTTATTAAGATAAACGCCCAATTCTTCTCGTTAGCCTATCGGTTCAACTATTTACAGATAGCTTTGATTTTTCGAAAACAGATAAGCGCGTTTGCTGTAAATGAAATCAGTGAAAAAAGCTAAATTAACTTAATGTAATTTGACTGAATTAGCTTAGCTTCAAACCGGTCCACTTGCTTCTGTCTGTCCGCGGTCGCAACAGGGCCAAACATCAAACAGCGCCGCTATTGGATGGAAGTCCTCAGTAAACTCTTCTCTGATTGGCTTGCTATGAATGGAACCTTGGCAGGCTGCCGCGACAAAGAAACCGAAGCTTTGTGGGTTTTGGAGAACAGCTTTACATTAAATCCCGTCGACGAAATTCGCATATTAGTTTCATTTTCAGGACTTTATTGATACTGGGATTTTATGAAGCGGCCAGATGCGAGTTTAAAACACTAATTTGATTCGCTGCAACAAGGAAAGAGATAACAATGTTACAATGGCAATAGCTGTTAAAAGCTTTCATACAGCTGCAGTTTCTATCCATCCCGTTTGCCACATGAATTTAGTCTAATCATTAGTAGTAAATAACTTGATTATCTGTAATAATATAGAGCCCCTACAGATTTTCATGCTACACATGGCAATGGGCGTATGTTCCACGATTTAGATGAAATCTGCCTCTGTAACAGAAGAGGGCAGCATAATGCCGCATAGTTTTTGAAAAGAAATCGGTTATCCAAGGCTTAATGCTGTTTATTATGAAGTCAGAAAGCAAGCAAACTTTATTAACGTTATAAATGCACAAATGCTGCTTTGCAGGGATAAGGCAAGCAGGTATAATTACTTGGCAACTTTCACAAGAATAATAAAAAAATATATTTAAAGAAAGAAAAAGAGCACTGAAAAAAAGCCAAGAATATGTTTTAAGACTTTTTTCCATGGATGTTTACCAAGGATCTGCATGATCATCAGATTTTAATCTATAAGCATGAATACTTTTGTAGACAGAAGGACAGCTTAAAAGATGAAAACATGCTTGCTATATTGCATTACAAGTTGCACATCTTTAGTTTTTTTTATAGAGTGCTGGACAAATGGGGTCATCTACTAATTGGAAGGTTGGTGGTTTGATACCTTGCTGCTCCTTTATGTATGCCAGAGTATCCTTCGGTAAGATACTAAATTTTAAGTTGCTCTCTGATGCATCCATCAAACGATGAATGTGTGTGAATGTTAGGTAGAAAAGACATATAAAAAGTGCTTTTATGAATGGGTGAATGAGGCATGTTGTATAAAGCACTGTGAGTGCTCAAGTAAAGTAGAAAAGCATTTACCACTTGCAGAAATGAGACACCGGAAGTTGGGATGGATGTTTATTCGGTGGGATGGTAATTGTGCTAAAGTGACATTTCATTTCGCTGCACTGAATTGCTGAACAAACACGTGATGTTGGTGGTAATTCAAGAGTCTGGGAGAAGACAAATGTTGCCCAAACAATCTGTCAATTATTTTTAATGACCCCTTAACAGAAAATCACTAGGTGCGGATCTACGCACTCCCTCACAGACACGGCAGTGTTCGACTGCCTCCTCTTTGTCTTGGTCTCTGAACACTCTCCTCCTCCTCCTCCCCTCAGTGTGGGGACAGTGGTTTGAGGTGGCACTGTATGGCTCCCCACCTGTCCTTCAGACCTGCCCCTCTGGGGCTTTTCTGGGATGCTGCTGCAGAAACCAAGCAATTGATCCCCACCTCAGCTCCAAACCACACTAAAATACAGCACTTGAAGTATAGTTCAGCTTTTCCATAGCGGATTTGCCAATGGAGTGTAAGCGTAAAAAATGTTGAGCCCTTGAGAAACACCTCTTAAGCTTTCTTTGTATGTAATTTATACAGAAAATAAGACTTGGGCCAAGAATCACAGAGAGTGCCTCTTTAAGCATAACAGTCATGGCCTCTGAAAAATGATCAAAGACTACTCTTTAATCGTCAACGTTCACATTTTCAGAATGAATTCATTTGAAATGGCCCTGCTCCACCTAATGTCGAGCAGTCAGTTTATTTGATGGCATTTCTTGACAGATGATTGTTAAATAAACTGACAGAACAAATGTAACAACTGGCTGAAGGAAGACAAAAAAACAATTTAGGTGAAAGCAAGAGCCAGCGGGCGGCTACCCCGAGAGAGAGAGTTGAATTGGCAATTGAAATATTAAATGTTGTGTTGTGTTTGGAAAAGACGGCACCTCTCAAATGAACTTAAATGCCAACATCCATGTTCTAAAAGAGGATTTCTGATCATTTAGAAAAATGTTGAACGCAGGCTCCTCGCTTGAGTTTATCTTGGATTTTAAGCATCTCTACATCCAAAATGAGCCAACCACAGAAGTACCTTAGGAAAAGTCAACCTTTACCACCCAGTCAATGTCTGATCCAATTCCACTGACACAACAAAACACATACTTGTGAAATTAATCGGTCTTACAAAGCTTCAGCATACTGTATGACAACAGACCTGTCACTTCCCGGGCGTAGAACTGCTGCATGGTCTAAATTTACGCAACAGGCGTGCATTCATTTTCCCCCCCCGTCTAACAAGATTCACAAATTTTTACATAATGTGAAACATTTTGCAGTATCACGAAAAGCTAAAAACGGTCAGTTTTGCTGCACTAATCTATCACAACAATCTCTAATCCTCCAAGGATGTTATTACTTGCTGCCAAACTAATTAAGATCAAATCCTGGGCAGTTTCCTGTGCAAAAAGGAGGGTAGGATGCGGGCAGCAGTGTATTTCACCAGGGTTTTGTGTGTCCTGGCTTAGGAACAGCCATCTAGTAATGCTCACACAGTATATTTTCATCTGTTGACAATCTAAACTCTACTTAACGGACACACACTTAGTTGTAGACATTTCTGTCAGAAGGAAAAATGAGACTGCCCTTCTGGCCCTTGCTGATGCCCATTTGGCGGCCTGCCTGTTTGTATCAGGCGTACTCCTCCGTGTATTTGCATTCCTATTATGATTTAGGCTTTTTCCCGTTTTATTTGGCTATTGAGAGCAGAGACAAACTTGCTCATGTCCTCGCTGAACTTAAGGCAAACATAACTGTGTGTGAAATTTCAAGTAGTCATTGAAGATTTTCTATTAAGTCCCCACCGAGGCACTCATGTAGCTCATCTGGTGGAAAATTTAGTACAAGCCATCCACTTGCCTAAATAAAGGTTCAGCTCTTATCAGTCGGAGCAGTTGCTTGTGACACTGTACTGCTTTAGAGCTTTAATTCACTTCACAGTTTTGCTCATTGTCAATAAGCACATACAAAGGTTCAAAATGTTATTTTTTTACAAAAGTAATTTATGAATGTTTCAGAGAGGTACTAAGAAATCAAACCAAACACCAAAGTCTTCCTTCTTGTTCTCTTTCAGTTTATTGATACAAATTCTGGTGCACCTGATGCCCCATTTTTATTGAAATCAAATCAATTTTATTTATATAGTGCTTTAAAAAACAACAACTGTTGACCAAAGTACTGTGCAATAGAATAATCAGATAAAATTTAAAAGGAAAGTAAAATAAAAGATAAGAAAATAATAATAATAAAATAATGACAGACTCATACAGAATTAAAAGCCAAGGAGTAAAAATGGATCTTAAAACGAGTTTTAAAAGTATCCAGTGTTGGAGAGGTCCTGATGTGTAAAGGCAGTTTATTCCACAGTTTCGGAGCAGTCACAGCAAAAGCCCGATTGACTGAAAAATGAGATGAAATACAAGTAGACAAGCATCAAAGAAGAAAAGAAAACACATTTAACGCCCTATCCCTCTTATCACTGAGCAATCTGCTCAAATCCTGTAGTTCAGTAGTTCAGAGGTGTCAAACATAAGGCCCGGAGGGGCAGAATTGGCCCACCGAAGACTCCAATCCCGGAGGGCGTGTAGACTTCTGACTTATAGTTTTACAGTTTTTCCTACTGATAAGGTTTCCGAAGGTTGATTCTGTTCATCTGGACGTGACGTTTTCAGTGGGAGAAACGTTTCGTCACTCATCCAAGTGACTTCTTCAGTCTCAGCTGACTGCAGGTTTCCCCAACCTTATAAACAGTACGTTTGCATAAGGATTGAAACTAGCACCACTGAAGGAACAATGGGCTGGGAGGTCAGTTCCTTCATCATAATTATGCAAATTCTCATGACCATTGCTCAACAACCACTGATCAAAAGCCATGAGTACCATTCACAGAGAGTTGGGGAATGGCTGCAATCACAGCATTGCACTGATAAAGTTGTCCTCCATGACCATTTAAACGGCATTAAATGAACTAAGTAACATTTAAATGATAGAAAAGCTCCTGTATTTACTTACAATAGAAATTAAAAATAACATTTCCTGTCAATTAACAAAAAACTTGTCTGTAATTTTACACATCTATGTCAGATTCCCTCCATTAACCACAACAGCATTTCTCTGTAATGTAGAAAAACTGAGACGTGCTTTTGAAATTGTGCCTCTTTTCTTAATTATCTCAGGGATTCAATGTGTAATTAATCTTCTTTACACTGACAGCAAGTGGAGTTTCACTTTTCTGGAATGGCTTGAACTTGTTGTCAAAGAAAGCTGCATCTGGACCACAATGTAAAATGAGTAACATCCCTTCTGGAGTCCATCACTAAGGTTATGTTAGATTCTCTCCAGGTGATGGGTATCAGTCAGCGTTGTTATCCTTGATTAAAAGTCAGCACTTCCTTGATACTATTGTTTTAGCAGTACTAATGTTTCTTCAGATAATAACTTCAGGAACAAACAAAGGAGTGTGTGTGTACATTTGCAAAAGTGACAGAAAAAAAAATCCTACAAAATCCTAATGTTTCTCTGTATCTGCTGTCGTGAAGAGAAACTGTTTGAACAGTCTGCAAACTAGTTATCCAGATCAAAGTTGCTGTGCTGTTTTCACAGTTTGTCTCTGCTACTCTCAGTTGGCTAAATATATTACTAATGCAAGTTATAGGAGGGCAATCACTTTTGAGAGTCTCAGCAAGAATCCACTGCTATTTGATACCAAATGTCACAAAAGTTAATGTCAGACAAAAAAAAAACACGTTGGAGACAGTTACCAGGTTACCAGTTACCAGGTCACTCGCAGCTTGTCTAAGGTTAGAGTGGAGTGAATTTTAAGAAACTAGAAGATTTTGCTTTTGAAATCAAGTCTTAAAATGATGTTGAAA